TGTGTGTCCACCCCTGGACAAAGGGTTTCCTTCGACCACTCCAATCAGGCAGGGGGGCCAGGCCTGTCACATCCAACCTGGCCCAACGAAGCTGGGATGTGACAGGGGAAGCACCAGAGGACGCTTTGGTGTGTACCTGCCACGTAACTTTTGCACAAGCTGTCCACCCTACTCTTCCACGTTTTGTTTCATGGTTCTTCATGTGTTCCACCCCACAAACAGGTTTCTTTCAGCAGCCGACCGCAGACTTGCACAGCTTTGCAGCCGCGTCTTTCGAGTGCGATTGGAAACCATGTTCAACCATACTGTTCCAGCTGACTTTTCCACCTTGCGTTTCTTCGCCATCCTTCCCATCGGAGAAATTGAGCTAACTGAATACAAATTGTCGAAGTGTCTGTATGTATGTATGTATGTATGTATGATCCTCTATGGAATAACCGGTGGGGGTTGAGAACCCCATTTTATAATGATAAATGACTGAACCAGGCTCTGGGAGCACAATGCACCACTATGGAATCTAGCTTTCAACCCTTGCAGTGTACAGCATAGTTTCTCTATAGAATAAAGGGAGTCAACCTTTAAGGCACTAATGTAACAGAATTGTAGGCTCAAAATCTGAATTATCCAATAGAAACAGCCAGGGGTGGTCCTCGTTCTATAGACAAGTGGGTGTAACATCAAGGCTGACATATTATTTTGGAGGAAAGTTACGCAGCAATGGCAAAAGAGGTTGGCATTTTATTCTACAGAAACATGATTGAACATTGCAAGGTTGAATTTTGTAAAAAAAACTGACAGAAAATGACACTCCAAAAACAAGATATGTATATAGAGGTTGATATTCATTTTATAAGGAAAGGGTTGGACACTCACAGGTTGATTTTTTATTTTAGAATATTTTAGAAAAGTGGGCTGAATTTTGAACAAAAACATCATTTTATAGTGGGCCAATATTCAAAAGTTCTTCCACAGGAAATGTGGGAATGCATGCACCAAATTGCACAAGAATGCGCCGGATATTTCGTGAAATGAGAATCAGAATCCAACCTACCTCACTGTAAAACATCCATCCACTCTAATGTAAACTCTCAACCTTCTACTGTTCCAGGTTCTCTCTATAGAATCAAAACCATGTCCTCTATAAAATGTCCCCAATTGTCATGTATTCTCTATAAAATGAGGGTGATCAACCTGTTGACCCATCAATATATGATTTTCTCACCTCAGAGATCCTCAGAGTGGATCTGTCTCAGGTAGGTTGACATTTGATTCTAGAAAAAACTCTCTATAAAATGCCAGGTCATTTTGGAGGTCGACCTCCCCCATTCTATAGGGGTTATTCGGCGGAGGATTATGTATGTATGCATGCATGCATGCATGCATGTATGTATGTACGTACGTATGTGCATTGCTTTTCCCTAGTCAAGCCGGGAAATTTGAATAGGTGGTATGATTCGAGGGTATGATTCGCAGATGATTCGCACATTTGAAATTGTATTGTTGGATTGGCTGGACTTCCAGCAGTGGGCCCACTCTGCGCCATGAGGCAGTGGGCAAGCAGCATCTGTTGGTTGCTGGGCAATCTGGGCAAGTGCACTCTTCTACCAAAGGCCCCCAGCCCCACCAAAAGCAGCACGACCCTGTTGACTACAGTGCACCAGTGGCCCTCTGCAGGCCCCACCAAACCAACTAGGATGTGGAATGGGTGGGAGACTGTGTGGAGGTGCGTGATTCGGGTATGAATCGGCATGCATCGGGTGTGATTCGTAAGGCCATTTCCCAAGGGAGAGCACTTGGGAACATTAAGTGCCCCTGGATGTGAGCCTTTGCTCTTTCCCACAAGAAAACAAACAATTTTGGCCAAATTGAGTGCCTGTGGGTCACACAGTTGCAAACATCATGCACCATTGGTTCATGGACATCTATATCTATATACAAGGCACAAAGACCAACCAAAAGCTTCACCTTAACACCTAGTTCTTACACCTACTCTTTTGGGGTATGATTCGGGGGTATGATTTGAGGTATGATTCGAGGGTATGAATCGCTCAAGTCGAACTTCCAACCACTACATCAGGAAGTGAACGCCCAAAAAATACAAACCCATATACAGCAAATCCTTTCCCATCTCCAGGCTCCCCGTAGTGTATGGTAGTGATTGTGAACGGCATTTCAAGTGACGCCTTTCACCTCTTTGGGCAGCCTTCTTGGGTGCATAGCTTCGGAAACACATGAAAATACATGTCAACAAAAGCTGGGAAAAGTCGTACATAGCAAACAGCTTGAACATGCTTGAACTTAGTATAACTTAGTGCATCACAAGCGCCGAGGATGAGAATTGTTCATCGTCCTGCCAAACCGCCTTGGGGAAGCCATCGCAGCAGTCGAGGGCAATATGGTTCAAATTGGGGCAGCAATTCCCTTGTGACATCCCAGCTGCGACACACGCCGGATAGCTCGCCTCAGCGTCTCAGTGGAGTGGCGGTCTAGTGTCGATTTTTCTGAAGCCAATTGATTTGACCGGTGATGCTGCTATCGATGTAGGATAAATCACATCAAGTGACACGGTTTTGGTTGGAAGTTGTTCTTGCGATGCAAGCACCCTTGCCATGGTCAGGCCGATCGCAAAAAAAGCATGCTCTGTATGTCAATGCAGTGTGCACACCCACTGGACTCCCAATACCCGAAGCACTACTCATATTGAATGCCATAATGATTCTTGCCTTTATGGCCCAGTAAATGGCAGTCAGTTTCTACTGGTAGCATAACTGTGTCTTGAAAGATTGGGGAAAGATATCACTGGGCAAAAGCAGGCCCAACGCAACCAAAGACGCTCTCGCAGCCATAGCCACACCAACAGTAGAATTGCAGAAAAAAGAAAGCAAGAAGCAGCTGCAGCGTTGGTGAGAAGAGAAACCCCGACTTTGTCACTGCGGCTGAAGGGGGTGGTGCTCGCTGGTCAGGCTCCTACTCTTTGCAGTCTGCCCAGCCTGCGTCTGTTGTTCACAAATGCACCACTGAGTGGCTGAGTGCTTTGACAAGTTTGTTATCCCCTCCCGGCGCCCCTACTCAATTCCCAATGCACCGTATTCTGAAACCAAGCAACGCAAGTGGACCCATTCACACCTGGAAGTGGTTCTGGCTTTCCTCTGTCCACCATGGCTGTTTTCGTCGCCAGTTTGACATCCTTCAGGACTTCCTTGACGCTCCCCTTTTCAAGCTCTACAGCTGAATACTTTCCTGAGCCAGGTCTTTGCTTGGGTGACTTATTGCATTCGCTATCGTATTATTGGAGAGCAGTATCTCACAGGAAGCTCTAGGACTCTAGGAAACTTGTCAAGCGCCCCAACCACCAAATCTGCCAGTGTCCGGCCAAAGCCAAATCGCTCACTACTTCTACATTCTACACCGATGGCAACTGACCAGCTCCCAGCCACCTTTCAGCCAGGGCTCCTCCACCCCATGAGCTCAAAGACTCCTGCAACTATATATGTCTATCTTTGCCTGGCTGCTCATCTAATTGCATCAAAATTCATTCCCCCAAGCAACCAAAACCTCAGTGGCACATAATTTCACCCGGACCTTTGAATCTTTCCCAAGCCTTTAAAAGACCAAAGAGTGGCCTACGTACCACCTCTTTTCCAGGATCTGTGGCATGCATCTCGCATGACAGCAAACAAATTAAATACTTTACATAATGAAATATAGAGCGATATATAATATATCATTGCTCATAACAGCCTCAGACGTTTCCCCGCTTCCATTGCGCCACCGGCAAACACGAAACTATGACGCCGCAGGACTTAAGAAAGTCCTCATGGTGTGGGCCGCTTTCCTCCACTTCCAGCTCATCCAAGACTGCTTCCGCCTTCTCTAGGGCCTTTTGGCAATACTTCGGGCCAGTGACAGTGGTGGAGTACCTCGAGGGCATTCCACGAAGACACAAACCCAAACAACTCCAGTTGATTCCAGTTTGTCCAGGGTCCAGAATACGCCCTTTCGAATGGCTGTTTTTCTATGTCCATTCACTCGGATTCGGAAAGCTTTATCTGTAGCATCTCGGATCGTCTGGCATTGGCCCAAGCTCCACGCGCGCGCTCCACGCGCCTGTCAGGAGAAGCCTTCAGCTCTGAGTCCGCCCCAGTGAGCAAACACCCACCATCTGGCCAGAAGGTGAAATGCGCACAGGCTTCAGTTCCTGCACACAGGCTTCAGTTGCAACCTGAGGGACCTGAAACTGGGATGTTTGCAAAACTTAGAGCCACTGTTTACTCCAAACATTGGAGGGGTTCTTCAAAATAATCTGTAAGATGTGAACATGTTGAGGCGTTTCTACAAGCGCGTTGGCATACACGAGCTAATGAAGCGACCCCCTAGCTGGGCTAGCTAGCGGCTAGCTTCTGATAGACGGACCTATTTGGTTATTGTGACTGGCTTTCACACACTCTAGGAGCGACAGACTGCAGAACCACGGGCCAGGATCGCCAGGATGATGCCATGATCAGTTTGACCCCCCAAAATGCGGCAGAGTGCATTTGGAATCACTTCTTGGAACTGTTTGCCTTTTTCTGTGACATAAAGATACATAAAGCAGCATAACAGCTTGCTTGATCTGCCAAGCAGGACGGCGACTGACAGGTCAATCAAGTGCTCTTGGCTCTGATACTGCTCACATAATCCGAGTCTGACTTTCTTGGAATCCAAAACCTCGATGAAGAGATGTGCGTGTGTACTGGACTTGTTGGTGGTTCAGTAGCTTGTCACATTGTCCGCCCCCCGGAAATCTGTCTCTGTGTGTGGGCGCGTGTGCAAGGTTCAATTTTTTTCATACTCCTTCAATTGCTGATGGTCCTTGGCATCTCTCTTGACACAGCTCGGGGTTCAGCTCCACGGTGCGTCCGGTGCCCGGAAGCGTCCGCGGGGCATCATAGAACATGCCCTCCGAGAAGCAGTTCTGCAAGTCTTCACGGTCAACCTGAATTCAGGTAGTAAAGAAGCTACTAGGGGCTCCTGGCATCGCTACTAGGAGCAAGGACGCTACTAGGGGCTGGCCTTACTACTAGGAGCAAGGACGCTACTAGGAGCATTCAAGTTTAGACTCCAAACATCTCCAGACTGTATTGAGGAACAAAATCTTAGGGAAGGTCTAGCCTACTATGACTGTGTGCTGGGTCAATAAGCACATGTGTTGAGGGTATATAAAGAATGCTTGAAGAACTAAGGAATCCCGTCGTTCCTCAGGAAGTTCTCTCGTTCAACCTGCATCAGCTTTTCAAACACATGCTGCTGGCCTGGTCGAGAGCTAGTCCCAGAAACGTACGGGTCCTGCTTTGAAGCCCATGAGGATTGTAGACGAACACCTTAGGCCACATGACAGTTCCACAAACAAACGCCACCCAAAGACTACTGTATATATATATAGTGACGGACAGCTGTAATGGGTAAGTCGAACAGCAACTCTGTAAATGCTCAAGGTTCTCCATCGACACAAATCATATGTTCCGGCTTGACTACAGGCCCTCACTGGCGGTCACGAAGGCAGCCCCTCTATCAGACCCGTTGCCTGTAGGCTGAGCTCCGAGAGGGTTGGGTATCAACAAACTGGTGACTGAATATCACACAAATAACTTGATACCTCAAGCGCCAACATGATTGGATAAGGCAACGCCTTCAGCATGAGACAAACAAACAAAAAAGGTAGCTGCGGTAGAGTATGAGTATGCAATGGATGAATAGGCATAGAATTCCACCTACTATGTAGGTACAGTAACTATGCCCCCTAAATACCACTGTGTGCAGGGCATGTTTGAGGAATCTAAGCTGGATACAGGGTGTACAGCAATGGGAAAGGGCAGGATCCAGCAAACCTGGCTTCAAGACTCAGGAGACCTCAGCAAGGAGTTCCTTTCATGCCTTGTCATGTCTCAGAATATCCCACTAAACCTGCAACCGCTTAGAGACTCTCTACACCAACGCCATGGACCTGGCACAGCGTCTATGAGCTGCATAGCCCTTGTTCATTCAGCAAACGTGCAGCGAAGGGCTCAGCTTTTCCAAGGCACGGCCGCAATCAGGAAGCCCAAGCCCATGCTGCCACTAATGCCCGCCACCAATCTTAGCCTTGAACGTCGGTCAACGCAGGGCGGAGGATGTGCCAGAAGCTCCTGAGAAGAAAACAAATCAGAATGGTTGAGTTCATACTGTTGAATTTGGATCCTCCTGCCAGATGCGCACCTGAACCACACGGTTTGCTGATAAAGAAACATCAAAAAGCGAAAGGCAAAAGCAAGAGTGCTAGAGTGCCTCCTGGAGACTGGCTCACAAATTTCAACATACCACAAATAAGGAAACACTGCCAGAACCTTTTCAGGATCAACATCACAAAACAGCAAAAAAGTTAATGGCGTTCAGTTTCGCCCGCTCGCATTCCTGACGTTGAGATTCAGATAGGATCTGCGATCTGTAGAATTCCGGATGTTGGGTGTGGGGGCCTACTTTGGAGTAACATCATTTTTTTATATACTGTAAGTCCGTGTATGTAGAGTACAGCAAAGTTGACTGTAGTGGGGCCTTTGAACTTCTTCTTGGGCCAAATGAATCTTGCATCTGCATCACCTCCAAAAGCAACAGTAATGGGCAGGTTCTTCATAATTGCCTGAAGTAAGAATCCAAAACAAATGTTTGGCACCCTCAAAACTCAACTCAATCCAGGATATCACCCTTCTCAAGTGCTACTCAGAATCCCCCTTCTGTGATGTGGAAATCTTAGGACATTCTCATACACTCTCTGTGAGACCCCCAAAGATTGGGAGAACATTATTTCATATTATTTCGCAAGTCGTTAACATCCAAGACCATCAAGTCAGCAGTCGGATGACCCGAGTCGCTCCTGAAGTTCGGAGCCATCGCTGAACTCGGGCGGGGCAGTCATTTCCCCACTCCCGGATATGAGCTGCAAAAAGTTGGCTGCGGCCAACGTGAATCCGCGAAGTCAGGATCTTTGTTGAATGATCTGTGCTGGCAAAAATTATATAAGCCCACCTGTAAGGCTCACTGCAACACTGAGTGTCAATCAAGGAAAACGATTTGCCAAAATGAATCAGCAAGTCAAGGACCTGTGTGAAACTAATGGTTTTGCGTTGAAGGCAGCTTGTTGGTGTCAGATTTTGTGCAACCTTTTATGCAGTATTACTTTTCAATGTGTACAAAGCACCAGGCAAGTAGCGGAGAAAGCCACTCATGATGAGAGTCCTTCGATACTTCCTTCGGCTTCGTGTGGGGGCTCTTCCCTGCTGCAAGTAGTTTGCTTCTGTAAGGGAGAGTGCCGCCCTGTAGGACATGGCATTAGAATACAAATTGTTGGATGGCCCCGTGCAAGCAAAAAGCTATGATGCCGGTTGCTCTGAACTCTGCTAAGGATACATATATAGCAAAACATGCAAAGACCGTATAGAGTGCGTTTAAACGCATAAAAGTTGTGGTAGAAACAACATGGAACAACAGAACATTGATCTGCTTATATGTCCCACCCGGGTCTTCACATGGCAAACTCTTTCAAGGCAGCTCTGTGTCTGTCTCACAGAGAAGGCTCAACACTATGAAGCCACCGTTCTCACTTTGGCATTAGTCAAAGGGATAAGGTTTGGGCATCCTTGCAACATCATCATCAAAGTCGATGTTCAGAAGCAACGACGGGAAGTGTCTCTGGAGCTGTGCCAGGACTGCCAGAAAGGAGAGGGACGGCGCGGAGCCAAAGCCATAGATCTGCACCATGCCACTCACGTGAAAACCTGAAAATGGTGGTTTTAGGCTTTTGTCCGTTTGGGCTGTTTGGGCCCTTACGGCTCGCGATCTCCTTCCAGCTCGCCGCAAGCGCTGCTCCATCACGCGCAGGGTTCGGACCACCGCCAGCACGGCCTGGTGCTCCGCATGGCGCCCGGCAGCTGAAACGCCCGGCAGCGCTAGAGGGCGCAGGAGTCCGGGGAGCTGCTCCGCGTGCCCCGCTTCTCCCGCGCCGACGAGGCGCCCGGGCTCTTCAGAGACCTCCTGGAGCTCGTCCTCGCCTGACTCCCCGGCAAATGCCACGGAGAGTCGGTAGGCTAACCACGCGTTCCGCACGGAGCTCGTCGCCCAAAGCCTTGCCTTCACCGCTCTCCGTGCTGAGGCCCAGGTCTCCTCCGGCACCTCCTCACGCAAGGCCGTTCGCTGCAGGACCTGTCGGGTCACATGGGCTCCCAGGCCTGGCAAGGCCAAGGTGGCAGCGAAGTGCTCCAAGGAGCGAAGCGAAGGCTCCAACGAAGGCTGTCGCGAAGCAATGGCCTTCAGGTGCTGCAACAAAGGCACCACGACAGAGTCTTCATAGACGGCCATCACTTCGACTTCGAAGTGGCCACGAACACCGTCACCATCACCACTGCGCATCGAGGCCTCCACCATGTCGGACCAATCTCTGGCGGTGTCCGAGCCTTCCACAGGGCGCCCAGCCCTCTGCAGGAAGTTCCGGCTCAAAATCTCTAACAACATCCCCTCCCTTCCCAAGCCGAGGGTGGCAAAACCGTGAGCAGCCAAGGCACAATCCTGTGCTTCCAAAGAGCTCCTCTCGGCACGAGAGATGATTTCCAGAAGAACGGTTCTCAAAATGCCGGTCGTCGGCAGTCTAAGCCTTGCCCCAGCTACAGCGACACCAGAGAGTTGGTAAGTCGGGGCTTCAGCAGCACTGATTGTTGCGAAGCTGCCTAGTAGACTCAAGAATTTGGGATCAATACTCAAGCAGCCAATCTCGACGCTTCCAGCTTTGGCCGGCAAAGCAGCAGCCCAAAGGAGACCAGCCACAGCTGTAAATGCAGAATCTGCCTTCGGATGACTTTCCACCAGTTCCGCCACACGCGCACTGAGCACTGGGACTAACATTGATGAAACTTGCAAGGCAGCCGAAGCCCAAATAATCGCAGCAGCTTCATGGGTGTTTAGTTGACTTGCTTTCCGTTTCACCTCACCGGCTAACTGCTCCAAAGAGTCCTGGTCACGGCAACGCCATCGTGCCATGGAACCCAGGAGCCTCTGTAACTGTCGGGGCGACAAGCTCTGCAATCGCGCCATGTCTTTGGTGGCTTCACTGAGCACTGCTTCGGCCAGTGGCAAGAAATCCCCCCCTCTTGTGTGAGCAGATGCAAACACCGCGGTCGCACGGGCCAGTGCACCTAAGTCCTCTGGGCTGAAGTCTTCGATCTTCCGCATGGCCTGAGCTGACATTCGCAAAATCGCATCCTCTTCCATCCATCCAGGTCTCGCAACTGTTTTTCCTTGGGGGCGTAGCGCTGCTAAAGACCACAGTCCTGTTGCCAGGCCCTGTGGAGACAGATCCCGGCATCGGTGCACCACATGCGGCAACAACGAACGCAGGGCGTGTGGGTTTCCGTTCCGCAGCGATGCCATGGACCAAAGCAGGTTTGACATGGCCAGTGGCCGAAGTCGATCAGAACGAAGAGAAGCTTCTTCAAGGATCTGGTCCAAAGCAGGATTTTGCCACCGCACGGTTGCAGAGGCCCATGCCAAGCGCACCAGAGCCCTGGCCCCAAGAGCAGCTGCACGAGGTGCAGCCCCATTCACCAGGGCAGCAACAGCACCTTCTTCACCAGCCAGGGCCATGGCACGAGCCAAGATCACAAGTTCTCGGTTTCCAAATTCAGCAGCTTGCTCAGTCGCTCTGGCAGACACAGCGTTCACCACCTCACCCTGAGAGAAAGACACAGCCGCAGCTCCCAGGCGCGCCAAGGTTGAAGTCTCCATCTCCCCGCTGTGAAGACGTTGTAGCAATGCCTTGAAAAGTCTGTCAGAACTTTCATCCATTACATCCACATGCACACTCGCCAGTCGTTCCAAGGAGCTCACCGCGTGGTGTTCATCAAAGTTGGGCAGTTCAAGTTGAATCAAGTCCCGCAACTCCTCCACCGAGGCAACGTGGATCCGCCGCTGCAGCTCTCCCGCCTCCTCGCGCTGGTGAGGAGGCGATAAAGTGGGTGCCAACTGTGGTCGCAAGGCGATCTCATGGGTCGAACGCTTTGGAATCGGAATGTCTGTCACCGCTTTCGACGGCGATCGTCTCACCAGTTGGAGACACTGAGATCTCATCGGGGTAGTCGGTGGAGGATGCCGTGCGATGACAGGGAATGCCACCAGCTGCCATGTTCATCCCTATGCATCCCGATGCCCAGCGTTGTCAAACACTCTCCGACATTCTCACATTGTGATTATGATGTGCTACGCGTTGAGGTGCTATGTGCAGGTGCATGACATATCAACCACTTGTTGTGAGTAACAGGATGATGCATGGTTTGCCAACTCTTGCGGAGAATTCCAACTTGCTATAAGGCCTAAATGTGCAATGTCGCAGTAAGAGTTTAAGACAAGTTTGAGCCAGTGCCAGCTCACATTTGCTAATGTTGCAATATTTGGAATGCTTCTCAGTCCTTCCATCTGCTTCACACGCATCCTTCCGTGAGTCCCTGGGCGGCCCAGTCATGCAACCAATGCATGCGAGCCGCCGATCATCGCCGATCCATGTCCCCCACCGCCGATCCATTGGCAGTCAGTGCAACAGTAAGTCTCGGTGGCTTTCCATGGCTGTCTTTTCAAACTTTGCTCAAAAGCATTTGAGAACTAAGTACGGTTTTGGGTGCTGCAGAGCTTGGCTCCCAACTGCATTTATCCGCCAAAAATGCGAACTCTCTCGCCCCCTTCGCCAGTCAAGTCTTGTTGAACGCCCAGTCCACCCTCCGTACTCAAAACCAAGATCCACAACATGACCACATTCGCCTGGCGGGTCGGCGCTCCATTTTGGCTTCCGCAAATCCAACGGCTTCTTTGGCCCATCTGAAGTTGCAGGTCCTGACCACGAGTCGCCAGAGGTGGTAGGGTAATATACTGTATGTCTATGAGTCTATGGTCTCGTCCATGCCATGGTCATGTCATGGCAGCCACATCACATATGCATGCATAGTACACACATATATATATATATATATATGGTGTGTGTGAGATGAAAAACTATATTGTGTGCGTGCTACTATTGTTATTGCTAACATTATATAATATAGATTACTATGAATAAGCTCGTTGCCCAGCTTGGAATCTCCCGCATCCAGCGTCGTCCCAGCAGGTCCTACGTGGCCAGGATCTTGCCCAGAGCTTTGCCCATGAGGTTGCCTCCTTGAAGCCGTGATTGGTTCAAGTAGCTGGGTAACTCGAAGGAAAGACCGAGTTGAAAAGTTGAATTACTCCACTTGAATATGTGTGCGCAAGTATAAACGAACAAATAAATATGGGCAATTGGCACCAGGAGGCCTATTCCTGCAGTCTCTCCTCAATCAAAGACCTTCAACGGCTGAGCCTCCGTGTTGAGGACGAACTCCTGGAGTCTTTCAGCTCTCTGGGAGGGGAAAAACATGAAATGCTTCCAACCTACTTGGAATGGCCTCAACCTACTAGCGGTGGCCTCCAACCTAATAGCGATGGCCTCCAAGCTACTAGAGATGGCCTCCAACCTAATGGCCTGCAACCTAGTATTTAGCGATGACAACCATACACACAGACAACTGCGGCAATTACACAGGTGGACCGTCAAACAATATCCAACTCAGCATGTGTACTCAGGCAGGCAACTCACCAAGCCAAGAACTCAAAAGCGAAACCGCCATTTAAATACCCCAACTCAATTGTGGTAGCCCTGGGCGCATGTCTGCGCTTTCTTTTCCCTGCCTCCTGCACAACGCACTGGCCTAGATGTCACATGCACCCTGTCCAGGTGCAAAGTGAGCGCCCCAGCCGAGTGAAAAGAAGGCCCAGAAGTCACAAGACATCAGCCAAGTCAAACTCGGTTTTGCAATCCTTCACGAAGACATTCGGCCAAGGTATTGTCGAGCCAGCCGCCTTTTGCAGCACCAGCACCAATCTTGACCCACGGATCTCCCATCGAGACATGTCAGCATCGCAGCGGTTCAAAAGCTCATCATTTAGCAGTGTCTGGCCTTTGATCTTCACCAGCACATGGCTGGCGCGAATCTTCACCTCCACATCCTGCAGGTCGGTCAGTCCTGTTTGCTCCTTGTCCACTCCCATGCAACAAATGCAATTACAACAGACTGATCAGACTGGTTGTGAATCAGTTCCGTGGGGTGATGCAAAAACAGTTCGTGAAGTTTCTGGAGCTTGAGTGTCACCGCCTGCCCTCTGAAATGCCAGGGTGCACCCCGCACATGTGTAAGAGTTGATTCCTGCTCAATCCGCCATAACTCACTATAATCACTAGCTATTCGAAAGAATCCTGGAGAGAAGGTGTGTAAAACGTTCCTGCCATGGACTAGAAAAGACTCCATCCTGATTCCCGAGGATGAACCACCCGGGTACACGGGGTTCATTATGCGAGGTTCGAGGGCGTGGCCAGCAACTCTGTCACGGCATATCGTTTCTTGAGAAACCCTGGCGACGCGATGCAAGGAAACGCCGGATTGAACTGACCAAGCTTCTCTGGCTTTGCAGCCTTCGGGCATGTCGAACTCAACCTCAACCTCATCCCCTGGTGGGATGTTGGCCCAGCGGCAAATCTCAGTAGCACCACTGGGGCCGCAGTACGGCATCGCAGCAAGGTCGAGGCGATCTAACCTATGCAAGCTTGTGTTGAAGGTGACATCGTTTTGGTTCCTTGGATGATGTGAAAGGCTGGTTGCACTTTGCTTCACTGCAGTCATGTTATCTTGTTCACCCGGCTGTATGTACTGTACACGCTGTAATTGCATATGTTATCTTGTTGTTGTGTTAATTAGATGGTATCTTCATATATCATTATATTACATCGTTCTAGGATGTTTCGCGCATCGTCGAGTCACCTCCGCATGCACCATGCATGCTAGAAATGCTGTTTGCATCACATGGATGGTTTGTCCCCATCAGTTTGTGGTTAGCGAGCGTTACCGCTGTGCGTTCACCCATATGGCCTGGGCCAGCGTGGCCCTGGAGTCTCTCTGAATCGCTCAAGCTAACAAGCTGAAGGCTTTCACCTCCAGACTGCGCAATCTCGTTCCCCGTGCGCTAACACCATGTTGAAGCTGCTTGACGAAGGTTGCCAACAAACAGCATCAGTCTGAACTTGAGGCCAGGGGGAGAGGTCGAAAGCTAGCCGAATCGCACCGGATGTACTAGTTACATAGTCGGCAAAGCATGTAGGGATTACATGTTTTGGGAGGAAGGTTGCTATGTACATACTTTGCGCTAAAGAATGTAAATGTGACATCGCTGACTGGGAAGGGTACATTGGAACAACCCGGGTGCACTCGTTGGCAGGCACGAAGATGCGTGATCGGCAAATCTGGGGGGAAAATTTACCCTCCGCTTTTGTATGCCTTGAGTCGGAAAGAGGGGTAAGCATTTCTGACATCATACGGACTGTACATACACTAGGGCGTCCGTAGTGTAGGAGAAGCACGGGTAAAAGGTATATGGAATAGAGTGTCTTGAGGAAATAGCCGGTGTATGGTTATTGCAAATCTGCGGGGTAAATTTACCCCCCGCTTATGTATGAAGAGGGGTAAGCATTTCTGGCGTCACAAGGACTGTGCATACACTAGGGCGTCCGTAGTGTAGGATAAGCACTGGTAAAAGGTATAAGGAGTAGAGTGTCTTGAGGAAATGGCCGGCTTATGGTTATGGCAAATCTGGGGGGTAAATTTACCCCCCGCTTATGTATGCCTTGAGCCGGAACGAGGGGTAAGCATCACAAGGACTGTGCATACACTAGGGCGTCCGTAGTGTAGGATAAGCACTGGTAAAAGGTATCAAGAATAGAGTGTCTTGAGGAAATAGCCGGTGTATGGTTATAGCAAGCCTGGGGGGTAAATTTACCACCCGCTTATGCATGCATTAGGTTAGAAATAGGGGTAAACAACTTGTAACGGTGAAGTACAAGTCCTATGCAGCAAGCAGCAGCCAGCAGCAGCAGCAGCAGCAGCCGCCTGCAGCCAGCAGCCAGCAGCAACCACCAACCAGCAGCCAGCCAGCAGCACCACGCAGCAGCAGCGCAGCATCAAGCCGCAGCAGCAGCAGCACCACCGGCAGCAAGCAGCAAGCAGCAGCAGCAAGCAGCAAGCAGCAAGCAGCAAGCAGCAGTAGCAGCGGCGTCGTCAGCCGCAACAAGTAGCAAAGCAGCAGCTACAAAAGCGGCAACCAGCGGCAGCAGCAAGCAGCAGAGCAGCAAGCAGCAGAGCGGCAGCAGCAGCAGCAGCACACTTTACACCAAGCCACCGTTTACACCCAACCAACCACGTTCAACCAACCCCCTACACGGCGCAGCTGGGAGTTGAACCGCGGAGGGGGGGGGG